AACAGATACAAGTCTGGAGGTGAAACATAAAATAATAATAATAAAAGATGTTAAATCATGAGTTTGATGTATCAATTTTAAAACTTAGAAACAGAAACTTTGTATGTATAAGGAACTAGCTTCAAGATCTAGAAAGAATTACTGCCCTATTAAAAATGACTCGATACCTTTTGACAATCTTAAAGGAATTATAATGTTGGAAAATTTTGTCCTTCAAGTTGATCACCATTAGGTGCCAATATTACATCAACATTAATGGTACAAATAAGAGATCAATGGCTCCATGGCAAACTGTTTTACTATGCAACTTGAAAATAGAACTACCAATTTGAGGATAATATTCATGCAATGTTTCAAATGATATGATTGTCTATAAGGCACACAATATTATGTAGAAATACAATGAGAAGATTATATTCTTGCAATGTTTCAAACGATATGAATTATGTATAATGCACACAATATTATATAGAAATACAATGACTATAAGGACAATTACTATACATAACAAAAGATTGAGCCATTGAGAGCCAACATCATACATATACTACACCATCCTTAATAGTGATTTAAAAAGCGCTAGGCATTAAAAGACGCCAAGGTTCCAAAGCACCCGAGGCGCTAGGCGCTCACTCGAGCGAAGCAAGGCACCAAAATATAAAAAAATATATAATATAATTAATAAATATAATTATTTAAATAAAATATATGATATTAAATTAAGAAAATCTTAAGTATAAAGTCATAATATCACATTAACTTTTGTTAATGTTAGCAGTATTAAAATCGAAATAATATATTATTAATCTAATAAATAAAAAATAATGTTAACAGTATACTGAGTCGAGTGTGAGAAGAGAAGAGGCCGCGACTGCTGATTGAGAGCAGCGACAGTGGCAGTGGCGAGCAACGACAATGGTAGCGGTAGAGGAGAGTAGCGACAGCGATAGTGGCAGTGGAGAGAGGCAGAGCGGAGAGCAACGATAGCGAAGAGTAGCGACAACGGTAGTGGCAATGGAGAGAGGCAACGGTAGCAAAAAGAAAATGTCGATGGCCGGAGTCGGGTTAGGGTTGGGGAAGTCGCGAGGGCTAGCGGAGAGAGGTTGATATCGGTGCTTTAGTTGGTTCGATTGAACCAACTAATGCAAATGCGACCGAACCAGACCTAACATGCTGGTTCGGTCGCCTGATTTAACCCGGGCGCTCACCCGAAGCGCTTGATGCTTGGGCTCGGGCGAGCACCCAGGCGACGCCTTTTTGAAGCGCGCCACCTAGATAGTAAACGAGGCGCTCGGGCCTTGCCTCGCCTCACCCGAGCGCCTTTTGAAATCACTGATCCTTAACTAAATTTGTTGTCTAAGGTTTAGATAAGGAATGACATGATAGGTTTAGGCAAAGGATGACACAATCAAGGTTCGTCGTGCCGACCTATACCGGGCGATACGGGTAATATGCACTGGTATGACAAGAGACCAGCATGTAGACTACCCTGTACTGAGTAGTCCATAACATGGGATCTCGTATCGCCCGATACGGGGTCAGTACCAATCAAAACAGTCACAATCTGACTATTACTGACTGGAACAATACAAGGATTGTACCGATCAAAACAATCAAAATCCAACCGTTACCGACCTATACCAATAGGTAACAATCAGATTTCGACCAATACCAATTAATGGCTGGGATTTGTTGAATTCAAACGATCCATTTGACCATTTGAATCAAATTTAAGGGTTTTTAAACTCATTCTCTCCCCTTTCACTCTCTAACTCATCTACTTTCTCAATCACTTTCTCACTCACATATTTCTCTTATTCTCTCATTTGTACTCTCTTAAACTCCACAAAGCTCGAGTAGTTTTACTCACATCGAGTTAAACTACCCGAGGAACTAGAGACACCCAACCGTCACAATCATCCGCCTAGCGTGCAAAGGCAAAGGGGAGGCAATAGCATCAGCTGCACCATTGGAAAGAATCGAGTCAAGCAACGAGACACCATCTCAATCACACTCAACAACTTGCCCGATCCGAAGACATGGCAGCGATGTAGACAGTAATGCCTCGACCGATGATGGTTGTGACGCCAATCAATGGTCCTATCCACAGAGTTTGAGGGTGGTGCCTGAAACAAGGAGCACTATTTTATGTATGTCACCCAAAATTCAAATCATGGAGTTCGACGAGATATCGGTCAAGTTTGTACACGGAAGATGGGAAAGACAGTGGATGATTTTGAGCAGATGTGACAAAGCCTACATAATGTAGACACATAGTAGAGCACGTCATATTCATAACTGTCATATTATAGAGAATCTTATGACAAATAGCAATACGGTGATAGTTGATTATTCTTCTCCGATAATCGATCTTATGATATGAAGAAACAAATCGGTGGCGAAAGTAGTAGTTTCGGCATTCTCTAACCTCCGCACCAATAAATGCCACAATCATATTTGCCTCAGGAGCTGCCTCGAACATATGTGATTCACGACAATCGAACTATGACCATCACCATATTTGATGAATCAATGGCATATGATATATCAATATACTATGTCATGGGATCAATTTCAGGACTGGGTCCGACAAATATATCAAATTGATATACAAATACATAGGATCGAGGGCTCTGATCTACTGCCCATGGAGTCCCATCATTCTTTTTCATGGTAGAACCAGGTATATCTATCGATTGATTACTTGATTCATTTGAATATTAAAATTTAAGTTGTTTATCAAATAATTTAATAATTTAAATAATTTCTTTATAGATAATTCAACATCATGAAAGAACGGTCCAAAATGTACCACAAAGATACTCGTTAAAGCCCGAAAAAAATATGTGACACTAATCATTCCTAATTTAGATTATTTTTACTAAAATTATACTAAATTTATATTTATTTTCTACTTAAAAACCCTAATCTAACTTTTTTTTTCTATTTTTCAGAAAATTTTGGAACTATTTTCGACCATTTTTTCATGTCGTTGATAAGCCTCGTTGTATCGACACATGACACTTCGGTACGGAGTGGTACGTACAGTTGGCCAATCAATATATCGGTACATACCAATAAGGCGAACCTTAGACCAAGGTTCTTAATTTCGATACCGGGCAGTACGTACCAGTCCGAGAGGATACCGATATGTGGATTGTCCTCTACCAGATGGTACCAATGTTTTGATCGGTACCGAGGTGTACCAACCGGTACCGCCCCGGATTTCGAACGTTACCGAGGTATACCGCTCGGTACGCCCTAGCATACCGACAATATATACCGGTACATACCGTATTGAGCAGAGCTCGGTATGCCGACACAGATCGATATTCGAAACCTTACCTTAGACACAATTGTTAGTTTTCTTCAATCCATTTTTATGTATATAAGTCTTGAGATAATTGACTTTGTAGTTATTGTATTTATAACAACAAAGTAATAGGTTCCAACTATTTGGGGTTGTCTACATCGGTCTTTAATGAATTATAATGGGTTCCTGTGGGGCAAAGACACCTGAGATGTAAAATTCTCTTGAGATGGGACATCCCGTGGAACAAAGAGCTAGGTTACAATGCTTTTGCACCGACTTTCACTGTTTTCTTCCACACGTTACTTGTCATGTATTCTTCTGGGACAAAGACTCAAATGTCGGTTCAATGTGATGCCTTCCATTTTCAAAATCATATCAATTGAACTGAATGAAGTGGTTTTGAACCCTTTTTGTCTTATAGTGTCACTGTATTGTGTTACAATATTTGGAGGGTGTAACAGTGTTAATGCATAGTGTTAATAGTATTTTTCCATGAAAAATGAATACAAGTTGTCCAAATGGGTCAAAGGTGGGGATTTGAACTAAATAGGTGGGTTACACCGTTATTGCAAGGAGTTACCATATTTTCATTAATAACAAACACTGTGACTGAGTTATCGTACCTATTTTGAATGTTGTTCTTTCACAACAAATCAAAACTATTCTTACCAGAGGGTATTGCAACTGAAAGATCTGAGTCATAGTGATTTTGCACTAAGTTACAATGTTTTCATCGATAACAAAAAAAAAAACTATAACTCAATGTGAAAACATCATAACTGGGTTATCATGCCCACTTTGAATATTGTTCTTCCGCAACAAACCAAAGCAGGTGTTTGAATGAACTGTCATACCACCCAATATGGTACGAAACATATGATCGATCTGCGCCATTTTGGGTGGTACACAATAAGTTATGCCTCTTGTACCGATCAAAACTCAACTGTTATCAATGGTTGGATTTCAAACATACTGGTCACCTCTCCCATCAAACCAGGTCCCAATGGCCAAATTTACCATGGGCCCTGTTTTGACCCTTTAAATCCTCCTCCCTTCCCCCTCTTTTACTCTCTCATTTTCACTCTTTCTCATACTCTTAACATTTTTAAACTTTCGAATTGGCGATTAGTAGAAATCAACCTCTTGATTTGGATAAAAGAGGGATTGGAACTTGGAAACCGATGGAATTTTTCTCCAATTAAAGGTATTTAACTCTTATCATTTCATATAATTAGAGCTTATTAATGCATATTTAGGAAGATTAAGTAATGATTAAGGCCAGTACAGCCACTTAATTTAAGAATATTATCTAATGCATATAATTATATACACTTTATTCTTATTTAAATATAATTTTTCTACTAATAAATTAGGTTTAAAAATCCTGAGAACATTACATTTTCAAGGAATAGCTACAAACCTACAACCACATACAGTAAACAAGATTTCATTAAATGGATTTGGTGATAGTTTCTATCAACCAAATGTTATAAACTATATTAAGCATTGGCCAAGGCTAAAAGTGATTATAAACATAACTTGGCTATTAAAGAAGTTTGTAAGCAACACAGGAAGAGAAATACATAAACAAGGCATTCAATAAAGGATAGGGATGAACCTGGTGAATATATGGCTCCATCTGATGCAGCAATTCATATCCCTGAACAGATGATCAGTAATTATATGTGCAAGGCCAGTCCAACAAAAATATAATAACATGTTAAACTGCAACATCGAGTTTACTTGTTTGAAATAACGAAGATGGGCATCCATTGTTCCACTAACAGCTTCCAAAAACTCGAATCTCTTTTTAGCCTCAATGTTAGAAAGAGCAGTAACCTGCTTACAGGGATGATCTCATCTTAGAAAAAGATGTAAACATAACATAGATAAGTACATGGAGAAAGATGTGAATGAATTGAGTAGGAAAAATATAGGGATGCTTTTACCAGATTAAAACGGGTCTGCTCAAATGAAGATCTTGCACTATAGAGCTCCTGCAATACATATCTCATATAAAGAAGTTAGTTTTAAATTCTAATATCAGGCACTACAAATAAAGATATGATAAAAAAATAAACCACTTTACTAACAAATCATTTTAAGAGAAAGGTATTCGTTTTTACATCCTCCAAGACAGTGACTATGTCTGCCTTTGTGCCTTTCTTTAACGAAAGATACTTCTCACGGGCCTGCAATACATGTTGTAAGAGTGAAAACTTACAGCAATTAATGGTGTGAAAAATATATTAATTATTCTAGAAACGAAAAGCAATATTTAATTGCTCTACTCTATCATAGTTTTCTAAGGAAACCAGCAAAAGAATACCAACAAGAAAAATTGCTTTGTAATAAAAATCCAAAAACATGTGAGTACAGAAAATGATCAAGATTAAGATTAGCTTTTATAAACTATTAAGAATGGTGCTCACAGTAGCAATATATATAATGAACTCTTCACACAAAAAACTTAACATCACACAAATTTAGATCATCTGTCAACGAGTTAAAAAAGGTGTATGCATGACAAAATATGTTCTTCACAACTTATAACTACTGTGTCAATTTCAGGTCCAGAGGGAGCTAGTTTGCATCCATCTGGTGGCCAGGTATAACTCCAACAGGGTGAGATCCGTTAAAAAATGGACCTTCAGGAAAGAAAATTAAAGAGAATCTGAAAAGGAGAACAGTCCTAAGGCTCGAGATTATTGGATTCTAAAATTCACCTTCACAACAATGTCTTAAATTACAATAACCTCTTTGTAGAGTAAAATAATTGATCATTGCATTGACAAGCTATGAAAAGCATTAGTGTAACCAACCATTGGCATAGGTATGGCCCGAGTACTTTTTATCCTTTCTTTCTAGAAGAATTTATGTATCTATAAGACAACTTAATGCCCCTACTACTTTCTTGCAGACCCAGAAATCAGCCAAAACTCCTGTCAGACTAACACTTAAGGTTTAAGCACAGAAACTAATTGCTACAATATAAATGCATTCTGTAACTTGCTGGGATGAGTCATCAAAAATAATATTGTTAGATTTCCACTTGCCAGTTCCAGTTGACATATTGTGAACATCATCACATGAAACAAGTTTATTTAGTTCAATTAAAGGGTAATAACTCAGAAAAATAAGACTGCATTAACATATGTTCCTGACACAGTAAGCACACTTAGATGTAAGGATAGTTCTATAACATAACTTGTTTTGGCTCAAAATAATAATCAGTGTGAAAAATGAGCACTTGACAAAATGCAGTACCAGTACACAATATTACAATCCCAAATGCAAACCTGGTCATACAGAAGGCTAGCTTTGTCAAAATGCTTGCGGGTATCCTGCATCAAGGTGATAGTCCAAGTAAAAAATATTAGTTAAAACTTAAAACAATCACCAAAATATTTATGACTCATAAAAAGGCAGCAGGCAACAACTCTACCTTGACCTCATGCAAATCTATTTCTACAAATTGCAACAGTCTGTCATTTAAGATGTGCTCAACCTGGATAAAGAAAGATCAATAAAATCAGCAACAAATATATGATGTCCGGAATAGGCAAGAGAATGTAAAGCAAAGACTGGAGATAAGCAAGTACTAGGTGAAGAAAAATGTGAAAATTTAGATATGGGTCATAGATGGAGAAATGTTAAAAAACAAATATCCTTTTAAATTAGGTCAATTCTCAAGTTGTCTAGATCAACTCAGATGTCTCATGAGTTGTCTCAAGTCCATCAAGTTTGCTCATCTTAAAAGAGACAGCCCCCCAGTGTGCGATAAAGCATTGCTTGCTCCATACACTGGTGATTCACAGCCCTACTCCAGTCACCATCCACGTCTCTGACCGCCTCATTCTGTGAGCAAGTACATCCTCTCCTATTTTGCCTCTTTTCTTCCTCTCCTCCCATTTCTGTTAAGTCCATCCTCTCTGTCCCTATTGCCAATGCCCTGCCCTCCCACTTTCCTCTTCTCTCCACTATCTCCTCACTCCTCCTCTACCTCTTCTATCCTATCTCCTCCCTTCTCTCCATGATCAATCCATACTCCCTTTTCATTTCCCTCTTTGTTTCTCTCATCCTTTCTTTCTGAAGCCAACAACTGCCTCCTCCCTCCTCCCATCCTTTCACACTCATTGCTCTACCCTCCCTGTTCCCTCTTGTCTCTTCTATGCCCTTTTCCTCCCCTTTTCTTTCTTCCTCACTCCTCCAATATCTAAAATGAACCTAATATCTAAACTGAAAGTGATTTATGCTGAATTGTGCACCAAGATCAAACATTTAATTACTCTCAACTATTAACTCATATTTCTTATGCTAAATGCACCAATAATAGTTCACTTTACATCTTGGGCATGAACTCTAATTTCAGATTTGAGTGTTTTCATTTCACAAACAGCTCAATTATGTGCAGTAATCACTTGTCAAACACTTACAATAATGCATTGTCCGAAAATAACAAGAGAATAATTCATGGTTTATATTTTTTAAATGTTTCTTGACATTGGGGTCTGTATTGTTAATCTTCAGAAAATGATGTTGACAGTTGTTGCTTGCCAAGTATCAAATTACTTGTGATGTTTTGATCCTTGCAAATTGATTGGATTGGTGCCCATTTTAAATAATACTAGGTTACATAAATGAAAATATTTATGGTACTTGAAAACTACTTTTGACTAGGTTGTAGATATTATGATCCTATCATCTGAGTTTATGGTTGTAGATGTTACAATCCCATCATCTGAGTTTATGGACTATCTACACTTTCTAGGTAGCAAAACGAGTTTGACAACCTTGGATTAATTGATTTTGAGATGACAGAAAACAAAGCAGTAAGCACTTTGTCCAGCCATGAACAAACATTTTCCTACGTAAAAGAATATATCTAGAATCTAGGAAATATGTTTACAAGTTTGCTTACAAAAGGTAGCAACATATCCCCATCAAAAAAACTACGTTATATATCAAATTATCCTTATAATTTGAGCTGAACAATAACAAAGCCAAAACACAATCTGATAGTAAGCATTTCAATGAATTTTATCTTATTTGCAACATTTTGATTTTCTGTTCTTATTAAAGACCTTTTTTTCTTATCTATCAAGTAGAAATTTCAGTATGCCAGTCTTTCAGTTGACAGTATTGCAAGAAACATGGTTTCCATTCTTTTAACACTGGGTTTTTGTATGACTCCTAGCACAAAAAGAAATGAAAAGTATATTAGATCTTCGGGCCATGTATTGAGTTGTGATAGCTCAAGATATGACAAAAATTTGAAGTTATCAAGAATTTAACCAGTTCAATCTAAATGCAGAAATTGTTTTCTTCAATCTGGTGGAAGGTGGAAGTCCAACAGTAGTTCAAATAATATTATGAGAACTTAGCAATAATCAAAAGACCATAAACAAATTTGGATGCTTGCACAAGAAGAGTTCAGGCATTTTACCTGGGAACGTAGAACTTCTTTGTAGGTTCCTATTTCTCTCAAAGCAATTGTAAATTTGGTCATGACAGGTCCTACAAGTAATATAGTTTACAGGTAAACAAGGAGGTATCTTATTCCCTACTTGTGTGGTAATCATACAAAATCTCTAGATAATTAAATCATAAAAATGATGTTAAACCTGACAGTGAAATGCAAATACAAGACTAACCTCCAAAAGCAACACTGATTGGGTCATTATGCCCTCCTCCAAAAGTTTCTAGGGAGCTTGCAAAAGCTATATCTCCATCATATGCTTCTCCAAGTCCTTCTCTGCAAGGAAAAAGGAAGGATGAAAGGAATATAAAAATGAAAGTGCCAAGCAAACTAACACTGTCATCAAAAAAGTGAAACAAGGAGCATGAAGAACCATAAATCTGTTTGCATTCTGCACTGAAGGGTAAGCTTGCATGTTCTAATACTAGCTATCATATTTTCAGGCATTGTCTTATTTGCTTGGAAGGTCCTTGCACAAAGAATAAATGAGCAACAAGATATAAGGGTACAATCAATACATTATTGCTATATCATTGGGAATTTGATGATCCAATGGGATGGTGAACCCCAAGAATCCAGCAGTTTTTGGTATGTCATTTACACAACTGCCAATTCATGCCTTATGCAGTATGCACGTGTCCGTTCGTACTAAGTGAAAAGCATCCATGTATTTCATCTTCATTTTCTGCACAATCTTTAAAGTTCTATATGACATAGATAGCCATTAGAATCAATAGGTGGCTACTATTTAAACTCAGACTATTGTTCTGCAGAAACAAACTGCAACACTTGGTCCATGTATTACTCCATTAAACCCAAAAAATATGTCCAGGTATACAAATCTTACAGAAAAAAATACATAAATGCAATTCAACATTCTATAATCATCTTATAAATCAAAAAGGGACATCCCAAGTCATTATTTGGGAATATCTTAAACTTATAAACGAAAAGGTCAATTGTCTGCTAAGTTGAATATCTCTGTGTTTGTTTTCTACAATGAAAAAAATTCTAGGTTAGATTGAGCAGAATTAAACATAAAGATGCTAATACAACATAAGATCCAAGGTTTTCAATCTCCACCGGTTCGGCACAGTTTGGCCAACATTTATGGTTGACTGGTGATCGGGATGTGGACTACATATAACCGGATGGTCCGGCCTGGTCCACTAAAAAGTTATTTTTTTCTTTTAAGAATTGAAGAGTCACAAACAGTCACATTGATCTAGGGGTCACAAGGAGACAACTGACTCCTTGCGAGTTTCTTCTCTACCACTGCTGCCCACCTGCCCCCTACCCTGCTGCCTCTGCCCGATTTAGTACATCTCCTCCACCTACTCTTTTTCTCCTCCTCATCTGCCTCTTTGACTTCCTTCTTCCTCTCCCCTCTCCAACCCAATTACTATGATACAACAGTATATTCCAGTGTACCATGTGTCGATATCTCAGAACAGACCAGACTTCTATTGGTCCAACCATGGACCGACACGAGTACGGTATCCGAAAATAAAGACCTTGATAAAATCAAATACTTGCAGCAAGCAAGCATGGCTTAGCTGTGTGGGTTTTTCCAACCCTTTTTAGCATGGAATGTCCATTGTTAGTATAAAAACAACACAACCCCCTCATATCAATCAATGGAAGGTGAACTAGGCTATTGGATCCCTTTTCTCAAACACGAAAGCTGCATTTTTTATGACAATGATCTGCTAAAAGATGATGATCAATGGAACAGGAAATTGTGCAAACCAATCTTGTCTTTGTTTTTCTTTCTCTTCATAGTTAGTAAGAATAATACAATATTTCCCTTTTATTAAAAACCTTCTTTATTCAAGGTAAGAAAGCATCCTTGGAAAGATTTGAAGAAAGAAAAAAGGGTAGATTAGAGTGGAAGAGAGAGAAGAGAGATTGAAAGAAACTGAAAGATGTAGAAAAATAAGGAAAGATAAGAGGATTAAAGAGGAAGTACAAAGGAGTTAGTGTTTGCAACTTCACTTCTCATAGGATCTTATGTTTTTAGACATTGCAATAGCCTTTATTTGCAGGCTTTCATTCCTTTCTTTCGTTATTCCTTAGCAAAGTAGCTCTATCAGGCTTACCATTATCCAAATTGAGGAACAAAAAAATTTCCATCGTCTCTAGAACTATCATAACACAACTCTAATAACTAGCTACATTAATCAATACTATATTCAAAGGGCTTCTACACACTAAATTGATTCTAGTTGGGATTTTTTAGGCCTTCTATCTACTTATAAAAGTAAGAGCGAAAATACAAGTATATTTATAATCCAAGAAAGACTAGGATTACATCGAAGCAAGAGCCCCAGTTGAGGCTCAGTCAGGTCTTAACTTGGGTCCTAGCTCACATACAGACTCATGAAAGGTATCTTACAATCTTGGAGATTTAAGTCACGCCAGTGCCATAGATCCACTTCTTTGTTAAAAATTTAAAATGGACCCCAATAGATCTTTAAGATTGAGGCCTGATCAGAAAAGCTCAAGCATTTAATAAAAAATTTGGGCTAATCAAGAGAATATAAAAATTCAGAATATAATGAATGTAGGTCCAAATGGAAATATAAGATAAGGTTCATTCAATTAGCCATAAAACATAAGAAAAAATGTTCCTCAGATTTATGATCATGTTAACTTGTAATTCATGCTAATGAGTTACAAAAGGAGTACTAAATAACTTTGGTTTATCTAAACCCATAACATCCTGTGAACAAGTGATTCTTCACTTTATTGTCCTGTCTGTAATTATATAACCTTACAGTCCCCAATAGAGGAAATCTATGTTTTAGCTTATTTTTCACACAATATTGAAAATTATTAAAAAAATCTTTTGCTAAAGCCTAAGATTGCATAATGGAATATATCAGCTCTAAGATTCATTTGATCTTAAGCATATATTTGAACTTGTGTTAGCAAATAATGGAATAATTGTTTATACTAGCACAATTTGATGATTGAATAGACCAAATTAGTTCACATCTACACTTGCTTACTAGCTCGATGAAACCATAGTGCAAATCTATTTATTAAAGCAAACTTCACAGCAGTAGAGTATTTAAAAAAAATTCCTTTTGCATAAGTCAGCCAATCTCCAACACGAGTTCAAGAAATTTTGAGAAAAGTAAAATTGAAGTTTTGCCCAAGAGAAACTTTGCACGTCATAAAATCCTGATCAGTATCGTGCAGAATCTGTTAAATCTGTATACCCACTTTATCATGTGATCTCATCCCAAAAGAGAGTATTTGAATTAGTAAATATGTTGAAACTGACATAAATATTTACATACGTGTACTTGTGACAGCCTTTATAAAACTTTAGACACCTGTCTCTTAATGATTCTGCACTTTCTTCAAGTGATTGAATCTGTTTATCACAAGAGAAAATTGATTATTAATATGAAAAAGAAAGAAAAATCAATGAAGAAAAGAAATAATAGCTTTTCTTTTTCCTATTGACAACAATAAGACATGGACATTACAAAAGCTAGCAATTTGTATTGTGTAGCGACTACAGCATTAAAATTGTATTTCCAACAAATTTCCTCTATCTCTTTAACTAATTTATCTACAATGATGAAGCTAGTACAGATGCCTAAAAACAAGATGAACACTGAAATATTAATCAGGTTCAATTACAGCAGTTACCTTCAATATTCACTATTACATATATCAAGATAACTAAAGCAAGAATCCAATTTTCACTAAACAACTGTGACAATGATGTGCCAGCACAATGCAACACAGGTTTCATAATAGACACAGACAGTGGGTCAAAAAATTGCTAAAGGGTCGTTCAATACATCCACCATATTGTCACCTACTATTGGTAACGAAGGTGTTCAATATAATATCCATGCTTTTCAATTTCATTCATGCCTTGGGCAGCATGTAAGGGGCTTGTATAATAGCCCCATTTTGGTTGGGTTTTGTGACCCTTTTTTACTTGTAAGTGTAGCTTGTGTACGGTCATCACGCGAAGGCAAAACTATCCAAAATGGAACCTCCAATCTGCAAGTTGCAGGGATTTCCATAAGCAAAGTGCGGCCAAAAACATAAATCATCTTAGACCCCTGGAACCCCTAGGTGGCACATGACTTGATAGGGCTCCAGAGTAGTGTCTAGCACCAGACAATCGCTTGGTTCTACAGCGGTGTTGTAGGGGTACTTGTTCGCATGGACTTGCATGCAACGGACCGCCTTAGACCCTTTGTCACACAACCGTTTAGAACTTCCAAAATACATCTTTGAATTTTGTGGTGTCTACCAAGTGTTTACTTTAATGCCTGCTTGTGGGATCCCAATTTATGCTTCAATGGAGCAACCACGATAGTTTGCCCATGTGTTTGTTTGTTTATTTTCTACCCTATTGTCCCTTTTGCATGCCCTTAGGAACCATGTGAGGTTGCAGGAAGGTTAATCCTTTACGGATGGACACACAAGGGCATCGCACGACTTAGGTAAAATCAATTAAGTCTAAGTCCATGATAAATGGTATAAGAGCGGGACAAGCACACTAAAAAACACTTAGCATACAACATGGGAACCTAGTGGGGCTGCATGGAGAGTAATTTGCACATATGACTAATTGGGGAAACGGACATAGAGATGTAGGAAAAGGAGTCACTCAATAGAGAGGGCATTCGATATTGCCATTAAGAGGAATGGCTAACCCTTCATGAGAGACACCACAATGTCACGAACTTAGATGGTTTTGCCTAAGTCGTGCGGCACTCTTGTGTATCCGTCCGCAAAAGGTCAACCTCCCCGAAACCTCTTATGGTCCCTTAAGGACCTGTAAAAGAGAAGATGAGTTAGAGGAAACATTTAACTCGGGATCCCAATAATAACCCATTTTAACAAACACATGATAGACAATGCAAATTACAAACATCGACTTTACAAGCTCTGAATGGTCGCACGACAAAAGGTCCAAGATGATCCACCGCGACCAAAAGCCCCTACAAGTGCTCGCATGACATTACTGTGAAACAAAGCAACGAACTAGCCTTAGATACTACCCCAAAGGCCCATCCAACCATGTGCCACCCGGGTAGCTCTTAGGTGTTATGCTGGCTAACACTCTACACCAGTCTACGGAGCTAGAAAACCCCCAAAATGATTGCCTAAATGGCTTGTTTCTGGACAATTTTGCATTTGCATTATAACTGCACATAACATGCGTTTACAAGCCTGAAATGGCCACAAAAGCCAACCAAAATAGGGCTGACAAGTCTACTGCAAGCCCTCTATATACTATGCAAAGCATAAACAAAACCGAAGGACACAAACATACACAAGCATTACATCGAACACCCTGTTTACAATTTTGTCCATGATATTCTCCTCTACTGATTCCTTCGACGTCCTTGTCGAAGCCTTTGCGGACGTTGCATCTCCTCACCTTTGCTGAATCAATCTTCTAGTACAGTTGCAACACGTCTCTTTGCTCCCAGCTACTCTTAGCCATAATTGTTGATTAGTTGAATTTTGATCTGCACGCTGCTTCATCTCGCCAATGACTTTAGCTCTATTGTGGGGTCAATCGAGTTGTGATGATCTTTGTTGGTTCCTGTGAACCCTTCAGATGAAGAGACCTTCCTTGTTGTGTGCTAGTCTCAAACGTCTCGTGCCGCTTGAACTGATTGGATACCTGTTAGAGCTTTAACGAACATTCCCTCACTGACTCTAAAGTTTTTGAGGTCTTTCCTCTACAAAATTTGCCCATCGATTCCTCTTATGCTTAGTTGTTGCCTTCAATTAGGTTAACATCACCTTCGCTTTCGATTGGCAATCTGTTAGGAAATAAAGCGAACAATCTACTCTCGATTGAAACGATCACCATTGGTGAGGATTTGATGATTGTTGGCTTTCACTAAGTTTCTTTGAATGGTCTTTGAACATATGTAAAGCTCCTCTACTAGATAAATAAGAGAACTAGGGTACTCGATTTCGTCCATTATCTTAAGAGTTAAGAAGACAAAGGTTTCTCGACTTCACTCGTCTCCTCGAGGATTGTACCTCATGCATCGAGCTGGTTACTAGCCTTCACTTACTCTTTGCTCATACTTCTAAAGCACCCGAAGTGTTTGCACACTTTGCGTTGAGTTAGCTACTGTGATTCGCCTCCTCATTCCCATCGAACTTCTAGAATACAAGAAGTTTTGCCTAAAAAGAATAAAATTTCGTCCCGACTTGAAACAAGTATCTAATAATTTTGGTCGCCTCTGGGATTGTACCATCTTTTCCATCATTTCTACCACCTACTTTGAGTAGAAAAGGTACAACACCACATACTACCTATTTTGTTCCTTTGTTGAGCACTCCTGCATTAACCCGAAATCCCCCATTTCGACTATTTTAATAAGAAGCCCATTGATACCGGTCTTACAAAGTTCTCTGGCCTTTGTCTTTCAACCGTATCTCGGTATTTGGAGTTTGCCTCTATCCCTACCTCCTCGACCTCTTCTCAAAACCATACGCTCTCCCTCAATGAGAGTAAAGGATCGATGACTCCATAGAAGTCCCGCCTCTGTGGTACCATAGCGCTGTCATATCCATAGCCCTACTATCCATCGCCTCGCATCTGCATCCCTTTCTTCGCGATCGGTAGATCCGCCTTTATGGCACTATGGCACTTCTTCGAGTCCACCTCCATTCCAACCAACACTTAGTTTTGGATGGCTAAGTCCCTCTGGACTCATCGTCGCTTCCTCGCCCCTTTCGACCACTTGCTTCAACACCTCTGTATTCTCCAAAATTTCTCTTAGTCGATGGAAAAACAGACTGCAACTCTCATGTATGGCCTCTACCATCACGTTGCAGGGCTCGTACCGATTCTATTCTCTTTTGTGTCCTTGGTAACAACATTCACACACTCGACCTTATCCTCTGACTTATCGAACTCCCTTAAGCAAATATGAGCTCTGAAACAACCCAACTCTACAACTGCTCCAATCATACCTCTGTATAATCAAATCCCCCTTATGAGACTCACTGGTACTTACACTTAGAATTCTTCCTTGATGATACACAACCCTCATATGCTGATATGACCAAGACCTTTATCTGATGTAAAGTTCGATGCATGCACGGAAGACTTGCCTTTGCGGTACCATGACATTTACTCGAATCCATAATCTTTATTATCATCATATTGTTCACCAAAGTGAGGCTCCTAGTAGCTCCCGATCATACCTTCGTATAAATAAGTCCCTCACGAGACTTCTCCAATGTGTGTTGTATTGTCTCGAATTATTCCACCATGATCTGCCGGACTATGTCGCTTCCTAGTGACATTTCCATTACATTCTAATCTTTGTAGGATAAACTCGATCTCTCTATGTGTGGTCTCCGCCAGCACATCGCAGGGCCTTCGCCACTTCCAATTGTATTCGTTCCTTTGGCAATCGACCTTCGTCCACTCGTTGTCATGTCACACACGAACGAAGCGCAGCTCTAAGGCAGTCTGTCGCCTAGCAGCTGTCGAAGTCCATCGACTTTGCTAAAATTTATGAGTCATTGTATAGATCCTGGGCCTTTGCCCCCAGCATAATCTCTGTTATGCATCGCTTCCTTCGTGACAACTTGAATGGCAGCACTATGACATATTCTTCAAGAGTTCCCGCCTCCGCATCTTCTTGTCCCGTGCCAAGTCCTTCTGACGCCAACTTTGCCTCTGCAAGTTGAGTCACCTTAGTTCCTCCGTCAAATGCTTCGTTAAGATAACGTACATGTGCTTCAAAGCTCCCTTCGACTTTGGCACCATGCAAGATGAGTCCGCTCCATCAAAACGAGAGATTCATGGAACGACATGATCTCACTCTTGCCTCTACAAGAGTTCATATCCTTGACCTTTATCCAAGGAAAGCTTCGTGCCTCTGCTCCATGTTCTGTCTTTTATGTCGACTCCCTTTATGTGGCTCGAGCACTTCACTAAGTTCCACCCAAGTTGTTCTGCTCCTCGGTTTGCATTTAATTGATGATGGCCCTCGTGCCCACCATTCCACGAGTCAACCTTCTATTGAGCCCGATCTACACATCAACTCTAAGTGTGCCTTCGTTTGGTGTTGCCTTGGGTTACTCCCCCACTTGATCTTGCAATGCGCCCACCAACGCATTACCTCGTGCAAGATCATGCGACGACTCCTTGCTGCTCGCTCGATCCATTAAGCTTGGTGGAGTTGTTGCTTTAAGGTACCCCTTCTCAACATGTGCAATATGTTGCACATGATTCTCCCTCTGAAGACCAAGACTTATCTCTCCTAGATATCTATATCATTGGAACAACTTTTCTCTTCGCATCATTCCCTCTAAAAGTTTCGGAGAGCACTATCCCCTTGGACTACTCTGTCTTGCTAAATAAACTGTGTACTATTCCGTCCCTCCAAACGCACTTGCTAGATTGCGACTCTTCGCCAATACAACCCCCGCTGCACCCCTCAAGGCATAGCAACATGTTGAACTTGCTACACACTTCAGCTTCCCACGAACATATCCTTCTTATGTCAGAGAGAAAGTTGCAGAGCTCCATGGCTTCGAGTTTCAGTCATACTGGGATGGCCACGGATAGTCCATCGCCCACATACAAACCCTTTCATAAGTATCGAATTCTTCAAGTTAACAATTCCCCTCACCTCTATGAGCTTTGCACTCTTTCAGTTGCTGAGCAACCCATCCCTCCTCGCATGATCTAATCTTTTGCCAAGCGCCTTACTTGCCTTGAGCACCGTCAAGTTTGATTGTCAACATCACGCCACAACTCGAATTCAGTCATCACAACCTTTATGCGCTATGCATTCTTCCCAACTCGCTTGTTCTCATGGTTCCTCTCACGCAAAAGGTTGGTCATTCTTCTGAATGTCAATCTTAAACGTCCGCTACTCTGAACAACTCCTTTCCTTACATCTCAAAGCTCGTTTCTCTCAAACAATCGCACGTTTTAATTGCCCTCAACGTAGCCTCGCTAGGTCCCCCACGTTTGCATGTCATGTGTTTCTAAGTGTGCTTGTTCCGCTCTGATACCATATGTCATGGACTTAGTTGGTTTTGCCTAAGTTGCGTGACACACTTGCATGTCCATCCGTAAGGGGTCAGCCTCCCCAGAACATCTTATGATCCCTTAAGGACCTGCAAAAGAGAAGATGGGTTAAAGGAAGTATTTAACTCAAGATCCCACAAGCAGCCATTTCAACAAACACTTGATAGGCATTGCAAATTCAAGCATAGACTTCGTAAGCTCTGAAGGATTGCATGACAAAGGGTCTAAAGTGATCTATCGTTGCCAAAAGTCCCAAAAGTGCCCACATGACACTGCTGCAAAAAAAAACAACGAACCAGCCCTAGACACTACCCCAAAAGCCCATCCAGCCATGTGCCACCCGGGTAGCTCCTGGGTATTGTACTGGCTAACACTCTGCACCACTCTGCGAAGCTAGAAAACCCTTAAAATATAATTCATGGATGGCTTGTTTCTAGGCAGTTTTGCCTCTACACAATGACTGCACACAACCTGCTTTTACAAGCTTAAAACGACCACAAAAGCCAACAAAAATGGGGTTGGTAAGCCTACTACAAGCCCTCTACATGCTGTGCAAAGCATGAACAAAACCGAAAAACACGAACATATACAAGCATTACATCGAACACCTTGTTTATAAATTTATCCGTGACAACAAAGACAAGCAAGCTTGAGAAGAATGCATAGCGCACAAATGTTGGATGGTTGAGTTCGAGCTACAGCTCAACGTCATCAACCTAACTTGATGGTACTCAAGGCAGGCAAAAGCATTGAGCAAAGGATGAGAACATGCTTGTAAGCATAGTTATGTGTAATCATCGTATGGAGGTAAAACTACCCAAAAATGAAGCTTTTAGCCTACAACTTCTAGGGATTTCCATAAGCAGTGATGGCTAAGAAAATGTAAGCCATCTCGGACCCCTATAACCCCTAAGTAGCACATGGTTGGATGGGACTCTAGGTTGCTTCTAGAGATAGTCCATTGCTTGGTTCCATAGTGATGCCCCAAGGACACTAGTACATGGGGACTTGCATGCAACATATTGCCTTGGACCCTTTATCGTGTGACCATTCAAAGCTTACAAAGTCCATATTTGTACTCTGCAATGTCTACAAATGTTTGGTTTAATGTTTGCTTATGTGATCTTGAGTTTAAGCTTATATGGAACAACGACGATAATTTTGTGAGTGTCTGTTTGCTTTCTAACCCGTTTTCTCTTTTGCAGTTGCTTAGGGACCCTGCAAGGTTGTTGGGAGGCTAACCCTTTGTGAAAGGATACGCAAGCATGCCGCACAATTAGACAAAATCAGCTAAGTCCGAAATAATATGGTATATCGTTGTGTCAATGCAACACTACAACAATGCTGCATAAATGAAAAACTCTTACATTCCCTACTCAAATACAAGAACTGAAGTATTGTTTTGGATGGTTTTCCGTGCACCACAATGGGATAACTGCCAAAGGCAAGCTTCTCGATGTAGCAATATCAAGATACAAGGAGCAGTGACTACATACTTCCATGGCTCATCTGAAAAATACTGCAGTATAAAAATGGATGATGTTCCAGATATACAAGGATGTCAAAGAACCAGAGAAAAGACAGAAATCTTTTCTCTTACTTTTTCATATCTCTGAAAGTAAAAAATGAGCTACACAAATTTATGTTGCAAGAGGAACAGGCATTATGAAAATATTTTGGTAGAGGTGAGCAACTATAGAGTGTAACTCCATTACATAGGGCAGGAAAGCTGCAACCAAGCTAAGGTAGAGCCAGTTGGAATAACTAAGTACAGCCATTCTGTATGGATAGGTAAAACTTTCAGTATTGAACTAAAAAGTTTATGCAAATTGAATAGAATTAACATGAAGCCTCAAACTTAAAGTGAACACTTTAACTTGTCAGTCTCTTTCAATGTCAACCTACTCAAGAATCACCATTGTCATGTGGAGCTCTTGGTATAAACCATTGCAAAACTGAAGTGTATATAATATACGCAACATACAAATATGATAATCCAATATTCATTGTAATTATAAGTACCCTCGAAAAGAGGAAAGTATAGTAAGAAAAAGATAGTTGAAGTCAGTGGAATCTAACTCTTTAACAAATAAATACAAGTGTCTCTTTGACAAGTTAAGAAACATTTTGGAAACTAATGAACAGAGAGTTAGCACTATCAGCTGAAAATTCATAATGAGGTTCCTCTGTAGTGTTACCTAACTGAATTATTAATTAAAACAATCAATTTATGGACTCCAATGCAGCAGCCTTTTTGAAAAACAACCTTGGAAAAATAGCAACCAAACGAAAGTCACAAACATTGGATAGCTTCTAAAGTTATACTCCATCAGGCTTTCGTTGAGAAAATTATTTAGGAGATCTTTGTCATCTAGTCAAAAGGAAATTCTCTTGTTCAAGCTTAATAGAGGAAGACTAAACAAAGTTCTCAATGAATAAAAGTGGCAAACACTCTGTCTTGATCAGAAAAACCCTATCTTATCTCTCTTTCCCCGCTTCAATACCAATAAACTCCAATTATCAGTGAAACAAACCGGCTCTAAGATGCCAATCAACTTTTAAATTCTGTTAAACAACGTAACCCCATTTGCAGTACGTCGCTTTGGAGAACAACCTTTTCAACATCCAAATGCACGTAAAACCACAATCGCAATACAGCAGTACGAATGAAGATAGAATTAGCTCAGAGGGCCTCTCACCTGCTCCCGAAACATAGGAGAATCGTCAAGCTTGGCGAAGTACATGGTGAAGCGGCAACCTTCCCCTCCCTCCAACAGACAATCCTCATCAACGCACACTCCTATCCCCGGCTCAACCTACGGAACACTCGGGTTGTCTCACAGGACACAGGACTGAGCGAGATCGCACGGCCACCACAGAAGTCCAGCACCGGCGGATCCAAAAACCCTTTTATTTCTCCTAAATGCACTCAATGATCACAGCCCAGATCATCTCCAGAGACATTTCTCCGGCAAATCCACCGGTGTGGACGTTCCCCTAATCCAAAAGGCGAGCTCTTTAGCGCCAAGGTCTCAGACCACAAGAGTTCGAACAGAATGGAGAAGATTAGGGAAGGCAAACAGCGATCAGAGAGAGGAAACAGCGTCGATCAAAGGGATTTGTGGAGGAATCGCAGAGAAGAGAACGGAGGGAAAGAAGAGGGGAGGAGCGAGGAGCTAAAGAAAAAGGAAGAGAGGAAAAAAAGAAGGAAAAAAAGTGGGCTTCTTTTCTTTTCTTTCTTTCTTTCGTGTGGGATTAAACTATTGACCGCATTTGACGGGGGAGTTAAAAGGGGGGCGATGCGGAAGATTTAGGGGTAACTATTTGTGGGAAGTCGGATACGGTCACCTCCCGTTCGGCATAATGAACGGATTACACCGCTGTCATTTCATTTCAAAGTTTTGAAATAACATATTTGCCTCTATCAATTTTAATATAAATTATATATATATATATACTATCCTTACAAATATTTAAAACATTATTTGATCATAGTTACCAATGAGCTAAAAAATATATTAAACACTTTAAAAGTCCAAAATGCACCTTATTTTATTTAACACATACTATTTGACCTATTTCTTAAATATATATATATTTATAGTGATATATATATGCAATAACATTGAAGGTTATTAATATTAGTTTAAGTTTCGATATTATTACTTTGATGATCAACTTATGGAGATGTATAATAGTACTTTTGTTTTTGTGTGTATATATATATAATAATAATAATAATTACAGTTGGACCATATAACAAAGTTTACAGGTAGAGTCATCATAATTGAATTAGTTTTGATGATACCTCAATGCAACTTCAAATTTCCTATTTTGCAAGAATATTTCACCCATCAACCTATTAGCTACCTTTAAATGCTGAATTTTTGGATGGATGAATAGGGTCAAAGATTCATAGGCAGCTATGACTACATGCAAGGGACAATTAGTTTACATGCATGAGAGTAGATGGTTTTGGATCTATTTGATGACTTTAAGGGCTACCACATTTTTAGCCACTCTAAAGGAGTCAGTCACATGATTATTTATCTTATTGGATTAACTTATCATCAAATCGGAATTAGAATTGACATTCTAATTAACAAATTCCTTAATTTTTGTTGGGTTCATGAATTAAAGTAATTATATTTATCTTAATATTAAATTTTTTCCTTATTTATCTTAGATTTTGTTGTGTAAACATTGTAAAAATTGTAGATTACATTAATTTAATTATGTTTTATGGTTTTGTTATTGTGCATATATTTCTATGTTTGTATTCTAAATTATCATGAATTTTATACTATTTGTTATTTATATTATCTATAATTTTATATTTTGATCCCTTTTATAATCTTATTAAATATGTTAATGTAACAGTAATATTTTAACATAGATTATTATGAAAACCCACTAATCTATTGAATATAAAGTAATTATGAAGATGCTTGAATATATAATAATAATAATAATAATAATATTATTATTATTATTATTATTATTATTATTAATAAAAGGAGTCTACTTTGGACTAACTAATGATGCATTTCGACAGACATGATTACCAAAGCATGGAAAGGAAGTATGCCCACATGTAGGTGGCCAAATCCATGTGAAAAAGAGGAAAAAGGTATCAGTTGTCACTAATAAGTTCATTATAATGACAGATGGGAAGATGAACAACAAAACACAGATAAATAAATATAATGTGAGAACTGTCAAAGATGCTGCAGTGGGTAAACATCCTTACAGTGTTATTTCATCCTTCACAGATGATATTCGAGTGACAATGATAATATATCTAAGCAACAGAGGTTGGTGTGCAATTTGGTCTATCTCTTGGTGTAAACATAGGAATGGATGTTGACATTACAAATAGTGCATTGTTGACGCACCCACCTTTTTCTTTGGTTGCGAGAAGAAGAAGAAGAAGAAGAGGAGGAAGAAGAAGAAGAGGAGGAAATGTTCCGTTGGTGCTACGAGACAATGGGTAGCCTACGAGTCTTTGTTTTCTCAAGATCTGCAAGGGAAGAGAAAAAGCTTTGTCTGAGGGAATGGGAACAAAAGAGGAGGTTGACAGCGACAACAACTCTAAAGAAAGAGCAGATGAGACACATTATTCCATGATCTTCCCATTTGAACAAGATTGGACTCATCCTTCCCAGCGATGAACCTCAATATTTTCTATCTTTCATAGTAATTGTAGACATTCACCTCAATATTCTCATTGCGATAATATAATATTTTTTTGCATATACTATTTCTTAATAACCGACAATAAGATCAATGGAAATTCATTAGTTTAACAATCAATTTATTTTATTTTTTAATATAAGAGATACCTAATCATCACATAAAATTTCTAATATCTCTCTTTATTTGGGTTTTAAGCAATATCTTTATCAATCTCTCTTGAATAATTATTCGGAGATACTTAAAACTTCTATTTATTTAAATATTTTATTTATCCAATTTAATTATATCCTTAAATATACTCTTAATATATTTATTGGTTTACGGATAAAAAAAATGTAAGAAACCTGACATATATGGCACTTATAATATCTTTGACACCTCCACAAAATATATACTATAAGCCTATACAAAAACGTATTAAAGGACTCAAGATTAACTTATGAAGATTTCAAATACGTAATCTTATTAGTTTAGGAATAAAAAAATGTACAAAAAAAAAAAACTTAGTTTCTATATTAGTTATAGTATTTTTAAAGATAATTATAGTATTTTTCAGCACATCCATAAAAGAAAAGTAGTATTGAAGGAAGAAAGACTCAATATCTTTTACCTGCTTATTGGTTGGAAGGTATTTGGCCATGTACTACGCAGTGACATGCATCTCGTTGCCTTGATGCGCAAGGTATTACAATTGTGGCATCATCGGGTCTTCCCCTTCCCCTGCATCAGGCACATCACCTTGATGGTCCAATCGGAGTGGTTGTGCACCATTAATCTTGAGTAGAATTAGTTAGGGTCTCATGCACATTGCTTCTTCTTCTACCAGAACAGAACTTGGACTGCAATAGCATTAGATGGCACCCGCCTTTATTAAAATTATATTTTTCTAGTTAGCTTAGATATATTATAAATATAATTATATTTTAATTATGATTATCGATCAATAAAAAAAATTAATTATGATAGAATTCTTTATATGATAGGGAGAGACTCTCTTAATTATTTATCTCAAATCTTCTGTTCTCATCTATAAAAAGATAGGATCTCCTACCGACTTAACAAGAAGATGTGAATAAGATGATTCTAAAAATTTGAGTTCTTTATCTAGAATTATTATGATATTATTTCTATTTTGGTAAAGATAAATTTATTATGATTTAATAAAAGTTTACTTTTTTTATGATGGTCCATATAGAATTAGTGTGAATTTTAAGCTTGCAACGATCCTGTAATCAAATATTAGAATGAAACATAATTTCATTAACTCTTTGATATTATATATACTTATATCTACAAGTGACTCTATGTGAAATATTTTATCACATTTATAGATATGACTATTATATATCTAATTCATATAAGTTCTCACACTTATAAATATACATAAATAAAGTCAAAAGATAATTAGATAAAAAAAGTCAACATTATCATACAAGTGATGAATTTTATAATAGTTATGTTGGACATGATCATAATTCTAGTTATTTTGCTAGATTCTTGGAAAAGCAATGTATTTATGCTTAGTATGATTTACTAGATGTGTCATAACAGAATAAGATGATAGAAAGGTAAAATCGTACACTTATAGATATAATTAGAAGCATGATGAATTATTCTTTTGTACCCAAATTAATGTGAGAAGAAGCTCTAAGGATGATTATGTATATTTTAAATAAAGTTGTTAGTAAATTAATTCCATTAACTTATATTTGAGTTAAGAATGATAGGAAACCCAACTTGAGATATTTATATATTTACGATTATCATGTAAAGATAAGGGTATTCAATTCACGTGAAAATAAATTAGATTCAAGGACTATTTCTAAGTTATTCCATTGATTATCCAAAAAAAATTTAAAGGGATATAAATTTTATTATCATAATTATAGTATGAGGATAGTTAAATTTAGTAATGCAAGATTTTTTAAAAAATAATAAATCAGTTGGAGTGAAAATTTTAAAATTTAATCATAACATTAAGGAGATACAGGATACTCCTTTATCATTTTATATTTGAGAGATTATTCTCTTAAATCACTAAATGATTTGATAAAGGTGAACAATTTATATATAATATTGATATTGTTGCTTATAAACTTACAGAATAATCATAATCAATAGTTTTAATAATATAGAAAACCTATCATTTTTGTTAATTATGTGATATATATATACAATAATCATATTACGATATAGGAATCAAAATGATCCTTCATTATTTTTTATAAATTATGAAAAGTAGTAATTCTATATTTATATTAGTTGATGAGGTAGTTTGCATAAAAAAAGTAATGTATTATTATATTATAAAATAAAAACTAATTTTTTGATATGCTTTAAAGTCATTAATTAAGCTTTATGATTATAAAATTTTATCTTAGGACTTAGTATAGTCAAACTCAATTGTTAAGTTGTTGAATATATTTTGTGATATCATAATAGTTTTCTTCTCTAAGTACTTTAGTAATTCTTTGTATTATAATATAAAGTACGTTAGAGAAAAGAGTTCAAAAATAATTAATGTCAATTAAGAACTTGAGTTATATTGTATTAATTATTGATCCATTTACTAAAACCTTACACTTAAAGTGTTTGAAAGAATATGTTTTTATAATTAGGTTTGTGAGTAATCTATTTTTATGCATGTTTGAGTGAATATTATAATTGATATTCTTATTTATATAATTAAAGTTATTTATTTTCACTATTCTATTCACATTTATGTATATACATATTATGATTGAATGTGATAATATGATTATCTTGACAAGATAAATTACAAGGGTCATTTTGAACTATATCAAGAAAATTTAATAATGTTGCGATATATAAAAAGAACTATAATATTGATGATATACAACCGCTATAACTCGTATTGGTAGCTAGGCTTAATATGATATTATGTTTATTGGACTTGTTGGCATGTTTTATAAAATTTGTGTGCATGTGTAAACTACTTTTTCAAAATATCATAATCTAGTTAAGTAAAATTATTTTTAAATAAAATTTTATTTTATTTATTTTAATTTTAATTTTTTATATTTTACCAATTAATAGACTAAGTGGGAGAAAGTTAGATTATGTGACCTTATCAAATTATGTAAAATACATTAGATTGAATTTTGATTATTTTTATTGGTCAATAGAAAGAAACTATAATTATGATATGATTCCTTAGAGGATAATCTTGATGAGAGAGATTCTCGTAGTTATTATCCTACACTTTTTACTCTTACCTATAAAAAGACAGAACCTCCTAAGGATATATGGATATGTAACATTATTAAGAGATAATAGATATTCTTCTATTTTTCTTTAATCACGTCAATTAATCATTTAGAGATTATATATCTTCTCTAATCAATGTCTCTTTTATCCCTAATAATCACTTATAATAGTGTTATAGTGGTCCTGCGATGTAAACGGTGAATAAAAGTAGAGGTGTTGCACGATGGGAAGAGCAGTTGCCTAAATGAGCTGCGTGCGTCCATGGAGGGAACAACGAAACAATCCTTGAGGTCCGTGGAGAATCTTAGCCTCCCCTCGGTATTAGCTTCTCTCTTTCTTTCATCTCATGCTGCTGCTTTCCTTAGCTTTTCTTTTCTTGTAAGCTTTTGGCATCTCTTCCTTAGAATTCGAATTGGATATGAGCACTTCTTTGAGTTCTATGCAGAATTTGCCTTCTCATATGCTGCAGTCATTTAAACAGCATTCCGTTTCTGCCTTAAGCATTATTACTTCGGTATGAGAATTGGAGTGAAACTTCTCCCCATGCTGCAAAATATTTTTGGACCTGTCACAGCTTTTGTCAGAAATGATATGAGGATATATCACATAGTTTTCTGCCTAATTTGTTCTTTCTTCAGTGTCTGAATCCAAGTGAAACTTCTGTTCATGATACATGATATCTTCTGAACAAATCACTGCAAAATATATGACAGTTTCTGCCTTTAGTATTCTTTCTTCAGTGTCTAATTCAATGTGTAACTTCTCATTCTGCGAAAAAATGGGATGAGGATATTTGGCATGGTTTTCTGCCGTCTGTTTTCACTGCACTAAACTGAAACTTCTGTTCATCCTGTAAAATATTCTTTGAGCTAATCACCACCTGCTTCTTCTGTCAAAGAAATGAGATGATCATACAAGACATAGTTTTCCATGTGTTTTTTTTTTTGTATTCATAGATGATATCCGGATGCCGAAAGTGGAATATAAATTTATAGATTCTATTGGAGCATAAAACATTTCCAGGTATATGGAATGCTTAGTTCATGATACTGATTAGATCAACAACATAAATGGTTTCACACACATTTATTTAGACATGGAACTTTTCCAGGTATGTGGGAGGATAAGATCATGAGACTAATCAGATCAATAGAAGGATCAAGAGATCATGGAGGCATCATGTGCTGCCTTCCTTTATTCATAGATTTCACATGCAACGATCACTTTTCGTACATCTAGAAATTATTCTGTATTACCTGCACATGGTGGATGGGGAATTTTCGTGCATTATTTTCCCACTATATTCTTTTGTTAGATCTCCTTAATGTTCTGCCAAAAGGATATGGACATGAAGAGCAACCTTATCTCTTTGGCCCCACAATGCGACTAGTACGACATGAAGGGCTTCTTATAAATGCACTCGATATTCATCCAAGTAATTTATACTACTTCTTGTAATCACTCACTCTTAACTCTCACATTTTGGACAGATGAACATGATTTACTTGATTTAGAGGAAGCTCATGCCTAATTTACATCTTGAAGCACTGCAAAATTTGAACACACTGCATACTAAATGATCAATATTTCTTTCTTGTAGAACAATTGTTTTTATTTAGACATAAATCAGTGGTTCAAACTTGAGCAAGATGATTTTGTTCTTGATGCTCTTGTGGAAAATTATGTTGCTGTGCATCAGTCTTTTAAGCTGACATAGAGTATGTCAGACCTTGTAGGATTATGCACATAGTGCACATTTGCACTGTGGATTTTGTTTCCAGATTTTCTGCACAGCAGAATTGAAGAATCATGTAGATTTAACACATTTTTGTCATCCTTGTTGATATGCTAAGACAACAAATAGAGGCTAAATCAAGGACTTGCAACTTTGGAAGCACAAAAATTGTACAAAAACTTTAGCACCCAAGCTGTAGCTGATCTGCTGCAGTTCTGAACTAAAATTTGCCATATTTTGCAGGTTCAAGTGGTTGTCATGAATGCCAACATGGGTTGCAGCCACTGCAGGCAGAGGGTCTCCAAGGTTGTGTCCAAGATGAATGGTAAGAATTAACATGTGCAGCACTTGAAATGACATCTCATTCAATTGATGAACAGACTGTTTTGTCTTGTGCCTTTGTTTATAGTGGAAAATTTTCTCCTTTGGCCCCTTCTTTGAATTGGTGTTTAGCAGGACTGCTGGAGTACATGGTGGACTTGAGCAAGAAAGAGGTAACAGTGAGGGGGTTTGTGGACACCAGAAAGAGCAAATCACCTCAAGGACTCACTACTACTCTCCAAACCAACAAAAAACTCCACTCATTGGGTCTCTTTAGACTGAAATGCCCTGATGCTTTCTAGTGCTGCAAAGTGCACAAAGCCTTCTCTATTAGATACCTAGATTGAATTCTATAACTGAGATAGCTTCAGATGCTATTTCTGATGTAATCATGTACATATTATAAGAAAATTTATGATAAGAAATGTACAGGTGATTGTAGCTACCATGTACTTTAATAACATATCATCCATTCATGACACCAACAAAAAAAAAGGGAAAACAAAATCTCTGTATCCCTTATTTGATCCCTCCTAGTTGCAAAATGCATGCTACAATGACATGAGAATTTATCAAACCTTTCAGTAGGTACAACAAAAGAAAAGTTTGGAGAAATTGCCACAGGGTGCAGTCAGATCAAATATCATCTTCATAAAGGTCTCAAAGGCTTATTAATTTTCAAATGAGTCCATAACCTCTGCCAGCCAAGTCAAAGCCATTTACTCAATAATACTGAATAATCCTGTATTCCTTCAGAATTTTCTTCCTCTTTAATGCATGTTGATCGATGGACCAAGAAATTACAACACAGACTTTTATAATGCATATACAGAACTATAAGAGAAAATTCCTCATGATAACCATAAATGAGAGGTGTTTGCAGATGCAAATTTATTTTTGATCACTAAAGAAGGTTCAGAAAATCCACACTGAGATGTCTTGTGACAAAATCAGCTGGAATTATTCATAATTATATTACAGGACATGCGTTGATGCTCAAGAAGGCTACAGAAATGCGAAATGTTAATTGTTCTTGTCAGCGGTCACTGATTTGTTGAGATTTAGAATAAAAGTGCGGATTTCCATTGGTCCAAGCTCAACCACCAATTTGGAAGGATCAACAAGACCTCCCTTGACTATGGTTTCATCAGTTGAAGAGCTCTCCACTCCCCATTTTAGCTTCTTCTTTTCCATTTCAGCCCTTTCTTGGTTGGCACTTAAGTTCATTTCAGTTATATTGATCTGAAGAAACACAATGAAATGAATATGTAAGAGAAGCTTCAAGTAAAATATTTATCAGGTGTTGTTTTACCTTTCTTCCTGGAAACATTTTCTTGAGTTCAACATATGCTATTTTTGAAAGATCTTTATCCTCACCCACCTGTCATGTTTGTGGAAAATAAAAGGGGATGCGCCCAAGGTGGTTATTCATAAAGATACACAGAATTAACAAAAAAATGATTTTCTAATTTTTCCATTTTAAAATCATCAGTAAAGTCAAACTAATGCAAGCATTATCTTGAAGAACATACCTCATATAGGTGTCCTAACCTTAGCAGAACACTCCCATCTTCAAGCTCCTGGATGTGCAAGAATATAATTGTAACAAAGTATTTCAAGAGTAAACTTTGAAGTTTATTACAATAGTTTTCAATGAGCCAAAGACATGGTTATCATTCACTTTTGTTGAAGTCAAATCCTAAAGGCTGATTTGGTATTTAGGTAAACGGCATCTCCTTGTCTTGTGTTATGGCTTTAAGTGACAATGCTATAATAAACTGGTCTAATAAACTTTATTCATCTCTGAAAAGAGCTTTAGTATACAAACAAATTTTCTTTGAAAAAGAAGAATATTGGGTTATATATCACAAAGTTCATGGATACCATTGAAAATGGGGGTGCCACCTTGACACACCATTTCACAAAAAAGTATCAATAACAACAGAGCATGTCATTCTTTTATATTCCTTTCGATAGTCACAATTCTCCTAAGCTGGCAGCATGACTGGAGCTATAGAGAGAAGTGGTAGGGACATATAATGGAAACAATTCAATGATTTTAAAAGTTACTTCCTTGTTGCAGGGACAACGAACATGAATAAGTGGCTGTGGCACAGGCATAGAAACAATCTATGGAAAAACAGAATTATTATACAGAAGAGCAGATGTTTGGACAAGCAAGTTGAGCACATATAAGAGAGCTTCAATGTGCTAGAAAATATTTGCAAACAATTACCTGGAGAGTAATCAATGCAACATTCTCTGGCAAGCTGTATGAGTGGTCCAGCATTGAGAATGTCGTTATATGAAAATTCGACCAGTTGCCTTCGTGCTGTTAAAGTACAAGCTAAACTTCTAGCTATTTGGCAAATGCTAATAATTTATAGTGGCCGGATTTTACCTCTTCAGAGAATGCTATAAGAAGAGGAGAATATATCTGCTGGCCTGTTGACCTGCGCCAGTGGGCTCCTTCGCCTAAAGGATCGACTCTAATATATAACTTACCTTGAATCTGTCAAAGAACATTTAATCTGTGCATTAACAAAGGACAATTTGACAGTTTGTAAACTAACAGCAACTGGTTCGAAACCACTCTCCACGAAAATAACTAGAGAGATATGCCATCCTCAAAAAAGAAAGTATTGAGTAAATGAAATTCACCACTTGTGCAGGTTAGTGTGGCATCAAGTGTCAAAGATAACTGCTATCCTGTTTTTCAGTTCTCATATATGCATGGAATCAAATTGATACATCAACTAGCAACCAAAAATCAACAAAATCTAATAAAAAATATTGAGTGAGTGATAGAATAAAGATCACATGGATTATACAGATGAAAACATAAATAAAAGCAAGAAGAATTGCTTTAATACAGGTAAAAGAAGACAAGGCCATCCAAATATACAATTAATTATAAAATCTATTTTTCAGCCAATAATAGGCTTCTTTAAGTAAAACATAAACTGACAACTACTAAACTCTATCTGGGTTTATAGGGAATTAATAGGGAAAAACTTCCTTTTGAAAACATAAAATCACATAAAAGCCTACCCAAATAGACAGCCCAAAACTCGTATTGCAATTTACCTAGCCAACATATTTACATTTTAAATAGGATACATAAATGTAAAATGGCATAAAAATGATATTATAAAATTTCACACATTATCAAAAAGCAATGATGATAATCACTTGAGAATCAAATATTATCATATTAGATGCATCTAGATTCCAAATTAACATAAAATAAAGGCAAACTACGATAACCAAATCCAAGTCGCACCAATGTGCTTCCTCCATGAGAATCATGCTCCTTATTCTTAAAAATTTTCAAATGAAGCCCTGTTTGACAGCCTTATTAAGAATGATCGCTTGATTTGCATTATGAAATATCAACAGAACAAAGACCAACAATGACAACTAGTAATGGCAAGAGACTAAATGATGAGAGTTATAAAAGGTAATAAGCAAAATAATGGGACAAGTACCCCAAGAAAGGAAGAAAATTCTTGGCCTAGCAAATAAATGAAATGAATTCCTTCCAGCACCACAATTCATCATTGACACAATACACACATCTGCATCACTGATTGCAGGCTCCTCTAAATGGGCAACAAGCAGTTGATATTATAGTCTATCTCAAACTCAATAATAGGAAAATTACAAGGCAGGATTTTTCTTTTTAAAAAAATAACCATTCAAATGTGATTCCTAAATAACTCAAACCTACCCAAAGTCATAACTGAAATAGGACCTATAAGCTTGCATTAACTTGGAACTAATTAATTCTATAAATTACCAAAACAAATGATGAAATCAACTAAAGGTCCTAAATTATTACATTACACACAACATCCGGTTTAATTAACTGCAACACAAACATAAACTAACTGAACACATAACTGAACACAATATAAAAATTTGCTCCTGCTCTGAAAAATCAAATTCTTGTGAATATTTGCCATTATTATATGGAGATTTCTTGAATCCTTGATTCTCAAGACTAAATAATTCCCTATAAAATTTTTTATTCCATGACAAAAGGATCCCAGTAAATTTCTCTTGCCATTTAAACTTGCTCCGGTACCAACTATTGTAAATTGAAGTGTGGTGTTAGGTCAAACCAAGGTTCAAAAAACCGGTCAATACTTACTGGTCTGAGCAGGGACCAGTATTGGGACTCAGCAATTTCTTTTCATCATCATATTTCCTGTTTTATCTTTTCTTGTGAGACCATACATCTACTATGACATTCTCACCTAAACTATCCAATATATCGGTCAATTTAGCTTAGGTAGTTTAGAAAATAAAGTTCAAAAATCCTAAATCAGTCGGACTAGTAGTGACCAGTTTACTAGTTTGACCAGGGACTGGAACCCGGACTAGGCAAAATCACCTAGTTTGATTCAAAATAAGACTTTTATTTATTTATTTTCATTTTCTAAAACTGGAGTCCTGGACAGCTGAATCAACAGCTGTTGGCTATCAACAACAGCTTACTATGGGAACTATTGTGCTCCATTTCTTTCATCTAAGAGCTGAGAATGTAATCTCCATCAATTCCACCAGCTATAGCAAATGATATCAGAAATAAATTAAATATAAAGAAATAACGATGGTTTTATTGCCATGTTACCGTCAATATTACATAAAGATTTATCAGTAAAAGATTCTAAACAATTAAAGTTTATATTAGTAGTTGAACATAGTCATGTTGTCTAGTATCAGAACTGAGGCATACAGATCATTTATTTTGAGATATTGTGGTGCAGTAAAAGCATTACTCTGTACATGATATCGAAATTTAGATAAAAACTTCAGAACCAAGGTTCGCAATTTCGTATCGTACCAGAGTATCGAGATCAGCTCGGTACGGTACGGTACGAGTATATCGAGCGGTATGCTCTGGCGTATCGCTCAAGATATATATATATATATATATATATATATATATATATATATATATAATAATAATAATAATAAAGTTAAAAATAAGAAAAAGGACGACGTCGTCTCGTTTCTTCTCCTCGCGCGGATGAGGAGAAGTCACCAACGACGTCGAGACCTCGTCACCTCAGATGAGGAGGAGGCGACATCTCATATGCGACGTTCGGCGAGAGAGAGCGGCAACGGATTGGGATCATCGAGGTAGAGCAGCGTCAGATCTCCAGGTTCTCCCTTTTTTTTCTCCCTCTTCTTCCTTCTCCCTCGGCTAATACTACCCCGTAGTAGGCGGCAACGGTCGATATCAACCGTCACCGACCGATTTCGCGTGGTAATGGGGCGAAAACATCCCCAATCAACGGTACCGCTCGGTAGCGGGTGGTCCACATACTGGTTTGCTGGCATACTAGTACATACTACTCGGTATGGACGGTATTATTCGAAATTAAAAACCTTATTTAGAACTACATATTTTAGATATTTAACTGTACTTACTGCTAGCCCTTCACATTCAATCTCTACACAAACTACTTCGT